ATTCATTCATTCATTCATTCATTCATTCATTCATTCATTCATTCATTCATTCATTCCATAAGGTAACATGCAAAATTTTGAATAGAAGATATCAGGAAACTTCATATTATATATGTGGGTCATCAGTTCCAACATAGTTTTGAATTCTTAGGTCTGAGTCTTGCTTTAACTCATTGAAAAGTACTGCTTTGCTCAATCAAATACATTTTGCAAAGTATATTCTTGGTATGATCTACACAGCTATAATGCTGCTATAATTTGAATATTAAAGAACTATCTAGCCTGTTGACTTCATAATTCAGAAGTGTGCAACTTTTTCAGCTTGAGGGCTGCTTGGTATAACAGATACTGCATTATAAAAATGAGTCCTTAGATTCAGATTAGCATATGTAGGATTGCAGCTTGTAGGAGTTGTTCCAGTCTTTTTTTCAGTGTTGTATTTTATGTATGGTAGAATTAACCAACTTTTCTCTCTCCCTTCCTAGTGGACTTACTGGGGCTTTTGAAGTGGCGATCCAACACAAATATTCTGCAACAGAATTTAAGGCAACTGATGAAAGTTGATGGAGGTGAAGTTGTTAAAGTAAGAAATCTTTTTTTGGTGGGTGGGATGGGTAAGGAATGTATTGATTTGGAAAGAGAAGTTCATTTTCTGTTTCTGTAGTATGGTGAAAATATCCTGGTTCTTGTTGATAGTAAAGTGAAATGTACTACTTAAAAAGAAGGCAGTGATTTATTGCCGGGCTTTGGTCAAGTAACTTGCCATAGCAGAATAACAAAAAAGGAAAGCATTCTACTGCTGTCAAGACTTGTTTTCTGCCATTTCACAGACATGGAATAATAGATTTAAGTTACAGGAAGTCAGATTACAACTTAATCATTAGAGAAGGTTGACAATGAAACTAATTGCACAGAAAAGTGGTGAAATCCCCTTCAGACAGAGGCCAGAAAGCCATCTATGGGGAATGCTGAATTCCCTATACTGAACAGGGGCTAGACTCACCAGCCTCAGAGGCTTCTTCCAACTCTACAATTCTACATGCACGTATATTCAGGTAGTCCTCAACCTATGACCATTCGCTCAGTGACTGTTCAACATTACGACAGTGCTGAACAAATGGTGGTTATGACTGGTTCTCGGAGTTCCGGCTGTCCCAGCACCCGCATGGTCACATGATCGTGATCTGGGCGCTTGGCAACCAGTTCACATGTATAACCGGATACAGTGCCCCATGATTGTGTGATTGCCATTTACAATCTTCCCTGCTGGAAGGTTGCTGGGGTAACTATCCCCCACCTGCAAACTCTCCCCAGCCCCTCTGCGCTTGTGCTGCATTGGATACTCGTGCATCCCTATGCAACCTCCTCACAACCACACCTCTCACACACTCCCCCGTGCCCCCTCCCCAACCTACGCCATACCTCTCATGTACCCCCTTGGATCCTCATGCACCCTCCCTGACCCACACTGTCTCTCTTACGCACCCCCTTGTACCTTCGTCATCTCTCCCTCATAAAACCCCTCGTTCACTCGGCAGTAGCCACTTACCTCCCTGTCGGCCTGGGATTTACAACTTCCTGGCGGCTTCCCCACTGACTTTGTTGTGGGAAGCTGGCAAGAAGTTGCCTTGCCTAATGACCATGGAATCTGGTTAATAACAGCAACCAGGACTGCAGGGATTGCCATCGCTAGGCAATGCGGTAACACTTTATGATCTCATTGTTTAGCGATGGAAATTTCAGTCCCAATTGCTGTTGTAAATCAAGGACTAACTATATACCTTCTTAATGAATATTGGGTTTTGTCTTATGTTAACCCAAAAGAAAATATATAAAATAAATAAAAAGTGCTAGAGGTGCCCATTGCTAATTATGGAATATTGTATTAAATTATGCAAATTGTTGCTTAACACTGTTTATTCCTATTGGTTGGAATGATATGCTGTAGTATTGTTTATTCCTACTGTCTCTAAAAACCTAGTCTGGAGGGTTGGAATAGTTTTTAATTTGTCATTCATTTCCTTTCTTCCTCACAAACAACAGCTGTGAGCATTATTTATTAATCATATTTATATGGCCGCCCATCTCATGCAATGTGACTCTGGGTGGCGTATAAAACAACCATAAAAACAATTTTAAAAACATTCAAAAGTACAAAAAATTGATATTATAAAAGGCTAAGAGAGAACATCAGGTTATAAGCAATGGAGCCATCTAATCAAATTACCATTCCTTTGCAATCCCCAGGCCTGTTGTCACAACCAGGTTTTAAGGGATTTCTGGAAGGTTGGGAGAGATTGGGCCAATCTTACCTCAGGGGGATGATGTTCCACAGGGTGGCTGCCACGATAGAAAATGCTCATCTCCTGAGTCCCATCAGATGTAACTCTTTCACAGACAGGACCCACAACATACCTCTTCTCCTGGACCTGATGGTGCGAGCAGATGTAAATGGGATAAGGTGGTCCCTCAAATAACCCAGCCTTATGCCATGAAGGGCTTTAAAGGTCAAAACCAGCACTTGGAAGCAAACTGGTAACAGTGCAGCTCTCAAAGCAGAGGTGTAACATGTGCTACTCTAGGTGCACATATAACTGCCTGCATTCTGCACCAGCTGAAGCCTCCGGATATTCTTCAAGGGCAGCACCATGTAGAGCACATTACAGAAGTCCATCTGGGAGGTCATCAGGGCATGAGTGACTGAGCAGATCTTTAGTAGTTATAGTACTATATGTATAGTAGTAAAGCACTGGGTAGTAGTGTTTTATCAATATTGTGTTCTCCATTTGATTAAGAGGACAACAATAATCCTGTACTGGTTATTTTATTTCCATAGAATTTAGGGACTTGCCAGTCAATATGATGTAAAGTAGAGTGGAACATTGCTGATAGATAATAGGTTTTACATTGGAAGATGAGTAAGTATGAGGACCTGTGATGTGACAAACACTATTAGGTCTTACAATAATGTTGTCTGACTAGATATGAGTTCAGCTGCCATTTAGGTCTGTTGAATGGTTTGGTTTCTATGCCTATGTTCAAATAACACAAACTTTGGTTCACAAATTATAGTAGCTGTGTTTTGCAACTTGCTGAAACCAAACAAATAAATTGCTATGGCTTAACACAAGCACACAAAGATATAAGGTAGTTCGTTTAGTTTTAGCTCAGCCACTGTGGTTTGTTCATTATGGTTTATGATTTTAATGCATTTTGGGACCACATCATTATTCTCTTTCATTATTGCTAGGTCTTTTCTTGTGAATTAAGGTGAATTAGGGTTTGATGGTTGATTGTAAGCAACTTCAGGCAATCAAGATAGAAATTGTATTGTCCTGTCAAGAGACTGCCTCTTTTGCACTTGACTACCTCTGAATGGACTCTATTCATGGTAGAAAAAACAGAAATCCAGAGAAGAGCCTCTGAGCACATATAGGTGTTTTTTTCCTGTGAATTTGTTTAAGGCTGACATGTTTATTTGTTTATTTATTCATTAATTAATTCATTTATGTACAAACATACTTACAGTACATACTAGAACATCTATGCTGCTTCAGTCAGTCAAATCTTTTGATGTTATATAAAACAGAAGTTTATTGAGATATTATTTTATTTATTTGTATTTCAGATTTAGTCATCCCCATCTCACACAAAGAGGGAGATAATAATTTCCTATTATATAAGCAAGATAATATATTAAAATATTTACATTCATAAAGAAGAGTATATAAATCATTGTAATTCTACTGGAAGTATTGCCTGAATCATGAAACCAAAGCATGGCTTCTCATATTTTACTTGTCTTCTGCATAATAGTTTACTCCCTGCCTTCTTTATCAGAAGCTCCGGCTGTTACTCATTTTCAGCCAGCACTGCTTGGGCTAGAAGCTTCTTGGCAAAGCAGATCTATGTGAGTGGAATTTATCAAAGCTGAATGAGGCTATTCTGGATATTCATATCTCAAAGGACCATATAGCAGCAGAACCGTTTTTACCTGGTTGGGGCAAAGCTACTCCAGTGAAAGACAGTTCACAGAAAGGACTGTATATTTTGGCTCATTAATTCCTTCTAAGAATTAGAAGAGTCATGAAAATTTCTCTGAAATCTATAACTCATGACAAATCCTACTCTGAACTTAAGTTTTTTTCTTCTGGATCTGTATTGTAGTACTTAATTCCTAGATAATAGTCTGGCCATATTGACCGTTTGGTTTTTTTTTCTTCATTGGAAGAGTATTGGAAATTTGAGAATAGCCTGATTGCAGTTTGTTAGTTATGAACTTTCTCTTATGAATCTGAGGATTTGATGGTTGAAGGATGTGGATAATTCACAGTTCCAAAGACAAACAATAAGTTCTGGGGGCACTGGAATGTTCCATATCTAGACTGGTGAGTTTTGCACGTAATTAGCATATTTGAGTCAAAGGGCTTGACTAAAAACAGTGAGTTTTGTCATTTGCTGTTGATGGGAGCTGAAAACATATCAGGGTAAAAAGCAGACATTTTCTGATAGAAAGCAATGCTTATGTGCCTTGTATACTTTTACAGTATTATCTATAAAGTGAACTTTTTGACTGACATAGTCTAGGCTGATTGATGTTGAGGTGTCAGTTACTGAACCCTCGATGGAACTTTGCCAGTAACTCATTTGATGTCATGAAAGTAGTTCAAGTAAAGAAGATACTATTAGGAACAGAAAGTAAGAGAATCATACCTATCAGATATGAGGAGGTTGGTGTGATATAGGCCATATGAATGCCCATGGCTGTGTCATTAATCCAGAATACTTGTTCTCCTTGAAAGTGAAGTCTGAACATATACCAAGTGGCATAATGTGGTGGTTATATATACTGGTTTGCAACATATATGGTCTACATTCCATCCTTGTGGTGGATATTGCTATAAAGACCCTCAAAATCTATGGGGGTTAGGATTGGGTTTCCTCAGAAGGAGCCAAAGGTAGGTCTTTTCTTCAAGAAAGCTATAATATCCTTGAAGCATATGGCATATTTGATGGCATATGGTCTCAATTCATCACTTTCAATGTACCTCCTTAATTTCATTTTCCTTTGACTATTATTTTTATATTCTCCCTTCCCTATATATAAACATAAAAATATATGCATGCATATACCTTTCTCAGGACAATATGGTCAAAGGACCCTCCGTTTTTTTTGTTTGGGGGGTATGGTAAAAAATTTATTACAATCACCATTTTTGAACCAGTAGGTATGTAGTTACTGTTCAGACAAAATATAATTTTTGAATACTTATTATAATGATTTCATCCTCTTGGTCTCTCCTTCTTCTTTTTAGTAATGTTTTAAATTAAGGTTTTATGTGTTCATATATTTTATTTTTTAATGTTTGTTGTGAATTGCCCAGAGTTCCCCCATTGGGGGGAGATGGGCGGTTGAAAAATTTAATAAATAAATAAATAAATATTTCATCCTCTTGGTCTCTCCTTCTTCTTTTTAGTAATGTTTTAAATTAAGGTTTTATGTGTTCATATATTTTATTTTTTAATGTTTGTTGTGAATTGCCCAGAGTTCCCCCATTGGGGGGAGATGGGCGGTTGAAAAATTTAATAAATAAATAAATAAATCTGACTGTAGTATTTTTTTTTCCAGTTTCTTCAAGATACATTGGATGCATTGTTTAACATTATGATGGAGAATTCAGAAAGTGAGACATTTGACACATTGGTGTTCGATGCTTTGGTAATATATATGTATATGTATATATAAATACACACACACACAGAGAGAGAGAGATACATTGCTTTATATTGATTTAATTTATTTAATTTCTGTCCTCAAGTCTTCTGTACAAATACAATCACATTACTTTCCATGAGACTTATGGTAATACTGACTAAGTGAAACAGGGTTTTGGAATTTATACAATAGAAGCAATCTTAAACACACAAGTTTCATGAAATGGTCTAAATAAAATAAATAGTAGCAGGCTGAGAATCCAATAGAGGCTGAACCTTCAGGATATGCTACTTCTAGGATCCCTGACACAGTGCCTTTAGGCACCCATGTGCATTCAGACATATCCTTAGTACCACCAGGATCACTTGGGGGCAGAAAGCAAGATTCAGCAAGGTTGAAAAGCCTCTATTTGATATATTTATCACTATATTAGAAAAACATAGGCTTTTAATCACAACTTTTGCTGTGATTATTTTCATTGATGGGAGGGTTGATACAGTGTGGTAAGCCATCAAATGCTTGTTTGGTTTGGGTTTAGATGGTATGCAAAACCAACTACTTTGAATGTTTAACCATGGATTATGGCTTAATTTTATGGCACAATGACTTGTTCAATAAACCATGACTTAGCAAGAACTATGAATCCAACCAGTGTTGCCAGCATAGAAACCTGTTATGGACTCCAAAACAGCAGCTTGTTACCCAAGTTATTACTATAGTAAAGTTACTATAGTAAAGTTACTCCTGTACGTAATTACATCCCACGTCCTAACCCAAAAACAAGCTCACTGTGGAAAAAGTGTCCAAAGTAAATTTGTTGAGAAATCAAGAGACACACCAAAGTCAAATGCCTGGGATTTTAGGTAGCAAGAATTCTGTTGTGCTGGCAGTTACAGATGACCTTCATAGATCAATGTTCCAGCAACATATTCAGTATTTGAGGACAACTGGTAAAGCCCTCAGTGTTACTCAACTAACAGTTTAGGTTTCTGTTCAAAATTGTACTCTACTCTCCTTCCCTTAAACAGAATATATGAAAATGAAATCCTACCAGCAAACTATATTTTACAGATGGAGCTCTCTTCTAACTCATTTTTTTTCACTAAAAATGTAAATATTTGAAATGCTATATTTTCAAAATAATGGAATGTCCTTTCCCACTGAACAGGTGTTTATCATTGGACTAATTGCTGACCGGAAGTTCCAGCATTTCAATCCTGTTTTAGAAACCTACATTAAGAAACATTTCAGTGCTACTTTGGCTTATACGTAAGTTGTTAATTAAATAAGTCTTAGCCCAGAAATTAGTTATTTGAATAGGAGGTATAAGGTATAAAAAGTCATTATCATAGGTTCTTATGTTGTTTTGTAGTTGACTAGGCCAGTTTGTTTTGAACTTACTATGCTGAGGCATTTTAGACTATTAGTGAAAGATATTCATCCAATTCTCTAATGGTATTCCTTTCTGAACTGTTTGGGGGATCTTAGAATTAAAACCTGGGCTTTTCTGGGCTTCTTATCTGGGAGATTTTTTGCGTCCATAGCTAAGGAGTTCATATCTGCTGTGGCAGATATGAACTTATCAAAGTTAAGATCATGGTGCAGCTGTCCAATCTTTGGAATACAGAAATGCCTGAGGGATTTATATAAGAGTATCATTTGTAAGTGCTCTCTTCCCTGTTGCAGTGCCAGGACAGTCCCTTGGCCTAGAGAATGGAGAACTGAGGATGATGAAACAGAAAGAGGTGACAATTTGAGGGCAAATGGGTGAAATCTGTGAATTGGACTGAGAATGGACTAAAGCTCTATTTGAACCAATATTCTGTGGTGGTGTCTCAAAGAATGGTTACTTTTCTGCTTCCATTGCTTCTGCACAAAATGGCCCACATTGCCATTCAAAACTTCAATAATTTATTGATTCCATATATTTATACCACCTCTCATACAACTGCAGCTAGAAGAGATTAAAATAAAAGTAATTAAATAATAAAACCAATAAATTACAATAAGATTTTAAAAATAAGTTAAAAAGGCTAGGATGGGAGTAGGTATATGGGGAAAGAAAGCAAAAGCAAAACAATCCATTTGGCATTCATTCTGAGAAAACTTGAGTAAACAGATATGTCTTCAAGGGGCATCTAAAAGATGCAATATTCAGGCATCTGAAAAATTTCTGAGGAAAGTGCATTCTAGATTGCAAGTATGATTACAGAAAAAGGCTTTCCATGAGTAATTGGAAGGTGGTACTCTGCCTGCCTTGGCACATGCAGCTGAACCTCCACTGATCTTAGCAATCAATCACATCTGTTAAGGGTGAAAGTGGTTTGTCATGAATCATGTTCCTGAATTGTCTAGGCTCATTAGAAGGGAACTTCCGGTGGGGAATTATGGCAGGCTGACACTATCCAAGGTGCAGAGAGACAGCACACTGAGAACACCGGCTGGAAGGCAGATTCTAGCCAGTGCCATCTTCTGGATCAAAGGGAGATCTTGAGATAAACTACATGCACTCTGGATGGAGGTTCCTCATGAGTAAACTGCAGAAATGGAAAAGTTTTTGCAATCAACTCAGGAGTCGAGCTACTGGGAGTCCTAGGATTTCATCTATGCTCCTAACTGCGGTGGAGCAGATGTAGACATTAAGCCCTGCCTTTCTCATTTCTTAATCACTTTGGGAAATAATTAATCTTCAGATAAAGAGAGATTTCCTCTGCAGCAAAGATAAGACCCCTTGCAGTGAATCCCTCTATCAGGATTACAAAAATAAAATTAAAAAAAAACAAGAAAGACAGACTTTGATTTAAAAATTCAAGAATTCTTTGCAAAAAGCCTAACAAAGAGAAGATTTAAGAAAGTTTTAAAATGGATAAGGGAACTTTTTTTTTTTTTTTTTTACCATTTTTACTTTTGTTGAAACTGCTTTGGTATAAATTGGCACTAAGCCAGTTAAAGAGACCAGTCCTGTGTGGGAATGCTTGCTATTTATTTTTAAAGAATGGATTTAACTGGTGGACTCTCCATAACAAAAGGTAAGGTAAAGAATCAGACTGTGATGTTTAGTTGCCATGGAGATGTGATGTGTGTTGTGGCTGAAGCTACGGAGAGCTATTAAAACAAAAGTGTCAAAACTACAGAAAGGTAATAAGGAAAAAAAGGAGAGGCTTGTCTTTTTCTTTTGGTTTCTTAAGATGCCTTCACTTTTGGATTACTATTAGAAAAATGGCTACTAAAGAAATGGCAAGAGAGGGCAGTAGGAGCTTGCTAGAGCAACCTACAAAAAAAGTAGTTACATAAGATGTACTTCAAAAATTATTTGAACAGATGGGAAATAAATTGGATGCTTTTGAAAAAAGAATGGATGAAAGATTTGTAAAGTCGAGAGAAGAGATAAAATAGGATCTTAAAAAGATGGACAGTTCTATAAAGCAAGTATCTGGAGGGGTAAAACAAATCAATGATAAAGTGGAAATTTTGGAGTAAGTCAGAATTCCAAGGTCCAGATTTGGAAAGAGAACTGGATAATCTGGTTTTATTGGAATTGAGAGAGAAAGAATTCTGTTTGAGATTCAAAGCTGTTCCAGAGGTTTCAGGTGAAAATATTAGTGAATGGATTATTAAAATTTTGGCAAATTTTTTGGAGTGGGAGGAGGAACATATGGACACAGAAATTGATAAGGTCTATAGAATAAATTCCAGATTTGCCAGAATGAGGAATGTCACTAGGGTTATTTTGGTGCATTTTGTTAGAAAGAAGATGAATGTGTTAATAAAAATAAACTTAATAAACTTTTGTTGAAATATGAGACAGAAGAACAAGTGAAAGAATGTATGATGAAACAGGCTAAAAATTTCGGTTGCAATATACAAATGGATCAATGGGAAAATATGTGATTTGAAAGGATTGAAACTTACATTATGTTCTAGTCTTAAAGAGAATTTTTATAAAATGATATACCAAACTGTCTAGAATGCATAAAGGTACTTTGATGTTATGCTGGAAATGTGAACAACATGAAGGGACATTTTATCATGTATGGTGAATATGTAAAAAAGTAAAAAAATATTGGATACAAATAGACTAATTCAGAAGATTTTAAAGATTAAGGTACTATTGAAAGCAGAGGCTTTTCTTTTGGGATAAATGGACAGACAGTTAGAAAAAAGCCATGGAACTTTGTTATTATATATGACAATTGCAGCAAGATGATTATATGTTCGAAAATGGGTTCAACATTACCCACAATAGAGGAATGGTTGGTGAAGATGATGGAACTTGCAGAGGTGGCTAAATTTACTTCCTTGAAAAGACAATATCTATATTTATGGCTGACTGGAAACCCCTTATAGACTTTTAGCATGAAACAGAAAAAATGCACGTATCACTTGTGGTTTTGATGATTTAAAAAAAAAAGCTAATAGAAAAAAATTGAGCTTTTTTTTTTGTACAGGTAGTCCTCGATTTACAACCATTCGTTCAGTGACCATTTGAAGTTATGATGGAGCTGAAAAAATGGACTTACAACTGGCCCCTGAATATATGGCTGTTGCAACGTCCCTGCGGTCATGTGATCAAAATTTGGGCACTTGGCCTGCCTGTACCTATGACCGCAGGGGCACTTCAATTCCCACCCCACCTATCTCACCCCCATCTTTGCCCTTTTGGCTGCCCTGCACCCTACCTGGCAAGGCGCCAAGCAGTGCCAGAACCATGCAGCTCTGGGGTTGCTTGGCATGCTGTGGCTCTGGGTCTGTAAGAAGTCCCTGAGTCACAGTGCAGTGTGAAGCTTCCCCTGGAAGCCTCAGCTGCTCTAGCCCAGTCCCAGCCACAGTCACCCTCGTTACCCTGCGCTCTGAGACCCTGCCACCTTGTGCTCCGCTGCCTCAGCTAACCTTTGCCATCTTCTTCCTCCTACTCTGATGAGGTGTGCCCGGCTTGGCCCATTGTGCCAAGAAGCTCCTTTGCGCTGTACTGCTGGGCCATGGCTCTCTGAGCCTTCAGAAAGTTGTGCTGCCTTCAGAAAGCCTTTAGGAAGCTGCGCTGCCTTTGGAAAGCTTCCGAGATCAAATAGCGCACCTGTTCCTGCAATGCTGTGGAAGACCTCAGAAGTTTCCAAAGACTTTCTGAAGGCAATGCAGCTTTCCGAAGGCTTTCCGAAAACAGTGCAGCTTTCTGAAGGTTCAGGGAGCCACATGTAGGAAGCGTTCGTCGTGGAAGTTGACCCAACCCCTGGTACTTTCCCATTGGCCGAAACTGCTTCTGGCCTTCCCCATTGGTTGGCATTCTTATTTGTGCCATGCTCCTGGGCTGGGCTGGGAAGCCACATGTAGGAAGCATTTGCCAGAGAAGCTGGGTCTGAAAAGGAGGCAGCAGAGGCAGTGAGGTGCTTCTACTTTGGCCATGGTGGCTGGATGCAAAAGGCAAGAGGCAGTGTTTGGAACTGTGAGAGAAAGCAGCTTGGAAAACGAATGCTTGCTGGGGCTTCCTGGACACTGCAGCTTGCTGATACTTGATGGGGTGGGCTGGGGTGGGGTGGCTGAGGCTTCCAGGGGTGGCTGTGGCTTCCACAGCATGCCAAGAAGCCCCTCAGGCACAGTGTGACATGCAGCCCCAGAGCTGCGTAGTTCTGGGGCTGCTTGCCGCCCTGCAAGGCACGGTGCAGGATGGCCAAAAGGGCAGAGATGGTGGCGAGATAGGCGGGTGGGGGGGGTTGGAGGCAGTCCCTTACTTTACTGAGGCTTGGGGCTGGGAGGGACCAAGCCCCGAATGGCTTGGATTGGGGTGAGTCCTTGGCTAATGACCGGTTAGCATTCACTTAACAATGGCAAGGGGGATTGCCGAGACTGCCTTTGCTTAGCAACTTGGTCATGTGTATTTGTTGCATTATTCTAAAACCATTGTTTAGAAAATTTTAATAAGGAAGAATATTTTAAAACCATTTGTATATCTAGAAATGTCTACACAGTAGAGAGGGAAAACTCTGATGACGGAAGATTTCGTATACATCCGTATTCTACATTTACTGGCTTGCCAAAATGTGAAAAAATGCAGTCGGTGCCGTGGAAATGTTTATCTTACAAGTGCTCTGACATTTGTGTGCACAGATGGGTGCAGCTTTGTGTAATTTTCCTTGGCAGTGGTCCAAAAAACAACTTCAAGTCATCTTTATAAGTTTTAGAATTCTCTATTGAAGGTCTTTTTTTCTTTTTTTCTTTTTTACATTTTCTTTCATTATCTTTTTACCCTTTACTTTCCTTTATTCTCTGTGAAAGTTCTCTGAACATAAATCAGGATTATACTGTATGGTAGTATGTCACGCATATCTAAAGTTCTGTGTTGTTCTTCTTGCTCAGAAAACTCACAAAAGTTTTAAGGACCTATGTGGATAATGCTGGCATCACTGATCAACTATTCAAAGCTATGAGATCTTTGGAATATATCTTCAAATTTATAGTGCGGTCAAGAATTTTGTTCAACCAGTAAGTATCACAGCATCTTTATCCATAATGTATCCTTCAAAATACATTTCTTCTTATAAGGATTGTTTTATATAATTGTTATAAGATGTGAAGTACTCTTTTGAGATATACAGAAATCGTTACCAGTTTTATTAGTTGTAGATGAAATGAACACTGGCTGTTTAACATTGGAAGTTGATCAGTTCTTTTCTTGCTGGCTAATTCTTAACTCATTGTGTTGTACTGTTTGTTTTGGCAAGGCAGTGTGCGGTGTGTTTGAATTACTAGACAAAATTTCGAAAAATTAATTATACTGCACAGTAATGTACTGATACATTCTTGTTGCAATTCAATTCTACTTGATCATATGAATACTTAGGAAATAGTTACACTATCATAGATTTGGTAATTATCTGATACTTTTTTATTATTATGTAGAAGTAATCTTTATAACAATACCAATTATGAAGAAAAAAAATACTAGTAAGACAGATGTGATTATTTTTTCCAGACTTATAGATGAGATATATAGAGATTTATAAAGAAAGATATCCTACATATGTTTTTCAGGATCAGCAGGGAGCTTTTCACACTGATTCATATGTAAATTAGTCTCCTCCATTTGGCTGTTTATTTCAGTTCTCTAAGTTCATGTTCTTTTGATATTTCAGTTTTATATCTCTCTGAAGTTTATCATTACTATGTCTCTGTTAAAAATAATAGGCTGATTTTTGTCATTTATTGACTATTTAAACCTAGTTTATGTCAGTTTGTATAATTTATTGGACCAGGCCTAAATGTTCTTTGGAATAGATGGAAAAGGTTTTGATAACTAACAATTTCCATACTCTATTCACTGTTCAGACTACGTTATATCTGACACTTTAAAAAAAAGACAATTCTAATCAAGAAATAATATCTGCGTCCAGTATAATATGTCTCTGAATTTTGGACTAGCTGTTCAAGCAAACCATGGAGAATAATGAAGTTGTGTTTTTAAGGCTGGTAGAAATGAAAACTGTATCCTGATTTTTATCTTTGGCAATGTGAATGTGATGCTGTTAAACAAAACACTGTTGTGATGTTATACGTAAAACTTGTTCAGAAGGCAAGTGGTGCTTGCAAACATGTATGGGGAGCACCTCTGACTCCCTCAAGCAAAGGTCCCTAAGCCTTACTCCTACACGCCCCACCGTTGCAGCCTCCATTGTCTAGTGGGGTCTGTCTGGTCACTGTCACCATCACTGTTTACGGAGACCGATTTTCTCTACCTTTCCCAGGTAGAGGTGAGTGGACCTTCCCTCTGCTTTCAATTTCTGTAGATAATAAACTGGCTGGGATCCACAGTAAGCAAAATTCCCTGTCAGAACAAGACGACAGATTTCAGAAGAAGATACAAGTCTGTTATGTAGATTAATTTAAAAGGCAAAATGAGACTTGAAGACAGTGTGGGAAATTAAAAGGAAAATGTCATGGGTCCTGTAAGCTTTAACTTCATTATCTTCTAGGCAGGATATGCAGATAGGCCCATGCAATATAGGTAGAAAAAAATAGATCTAACGGGGAATAAACAGCTCAGAGTAATCCATAATATAAACTTGGAAAAAGATTCTAATTTGCTTTTAGCTCCATTTACCAATCCTTATTCCAGGACTGGAGCCATTGGTCCTTACCTGGCAGAAACCAACCCGGAGAGCTTCCTTCCCAAGAAGGCAGATAAAGAACAAAGATGAAATGGAGTTAGCCTGTTCCCTTTTTAAAAAGCATTTGAGACAGGAAAAACCTTATTGCTCCTGAATCTGAGTTTCCTGGATTTTCTGGGATGCTGTCCACTACCTTGATTGATTGATCAATTGATTGATTCTTTCCTATCTGAACCTTTCTGTCCCTTTGTTACAGACCTAAACAGTATATTTATTTTTATGTTTCATAATAGAGGTTTAAATTTGGCCAAAGAAACAAAGACTGAGACAAGATACAGTAGTTGTAGGGGAAACCATGTGAGGTCCTAGAGAAAGGTAGAATGTCAGTGTAATCCACCATAGCCAGGATTGGTGTGTATTTTTCTTATGCTTGATATGATGGAAGAACAAGAAGGCTGGTAAAAGGTTGTTGTTGTTTTGAGAGAGTGCTCGTTAACTAATTTTAATTACTATATTTTTTTAACTGTTGGTGTTATTTGTTTTCTCAGGCTGTATGAGAATAAAGGGGAAGCTGATTTTAGGGAATCGTTGCTTCATCTCTTTAAGTCTATTAATGAAATGATGAGCAGTGCCTCTGAACAGACTGTTACAGTAAAGGTATGTTTTGGAAATGAAGGGGTTTTGTTTTTTTACCATAATTCCATTTGTTGTTGTAATATAAATGTATTTTTCATAATGAGTGATACCAGATTTTTAGTTAATTTTTCAACTCATTTATATGTATTTCAGATAGAAATACTGTTTAGCAGTAAGATGCTTCTGCAAGGACTGAGAATGTTACATTTTAACAATAGAAAAAAATCGCAATCATAAGCCTGACTGAGCTTTTTACATTTGTCTGCTGACAAAAACAATCATACAACAGAAAACACTAAGCATTCATTAATATATGTGTGTGTACAGTATAAACCAATATTTATATGACTCTCTGTACAAACTAGCTCTGAGCAGTGTACAACATAAGCAAAATTAAAAATAGCAAAAAGCAAACACACAAGATCACTATAATGATGCCATTCACAAGGGGCAATCCCACATTTAGCATCCTCTAAATGCTCTATCCCAGAACTGTTTTCACAACCTTGAAATGCTGGTTTGTATGTACAAAGGCATGAAAAGCCTATCTGTGGGGTGTCTGCAAATGAAACTTACTTGGGGATGGGATCCTCAGCAGGTCATCTCTCACCGACCTTACATTGTGAATAGACATCTTAGCATCTTGGCTATATCCTTAGGATTCTGCAAATACTAACTTTTCTCAGTATCTACCAAAACATATTAGATAAATGACTCATTGAGTACTCTATATTCCTACTGTCTTGTAGTGCAGGCTTGGAGCTAAATATTGATATGATAAAAAGTAAAATATAAAACAATTACCTCCCTTGGGATATTCAGTAACATAGGCAAATACTAATCTAATTTTTTTTTAATTAAGATATATCTAAAGCTGAGACTCAACTGAAACTAACCTATCTTTTAATGCAGGACTGTATTTAATTTGCATCTAGGAAGTGCAAGGATAGTTCTTATGAATTTGGATTGGACTACTTGTAATAATCCTTGAAAGTACAAGTGATCCTCGTTTAATGACCACTCATTCAGTGATCATTTGAACTTGTGACAATGCTGAATAAGGGGTAGGTAAGACCAGTCCTTGAAGTTCCGGGTGGCATAGCACCCCCTTGGTCACATGATCACTATTGGGTGCTCAGCAACTGGCCTGGATTTCTGACCGTCACATTGTCCCGTGGTCAGGTAATCATGATTTGTGACCTTCCCTGCTGGCTTCCCACAGCAAAGTCAGTGGGGAAGTCAGCAGGAAGTTGGAAGTCAAGATCATGTGAGGTCCTTGCTTAACAATCTGCACAGTCCTTGCTTAACAATGGTAACCAAGGACTTCCAGAACTGTTGTTGCCAAGCAGCATGGTCATGTGATGTCACGCTTTATGACCGCAACGTTTAGTGATGGAAATTCTGGTCCCAATTACTGTAGTTAACAAAGGACTACCTATAATCCTTATAAATGTTTATTTCGGCCCCGTAGAGGAACTGAGTTTGTATCTGTAATATAATGCCCTACTTTAGACTGAAAAAATAAAAATAACAGCAACACTTTTCTAATTTCAATAAAAGTTTATACATTTTAGCAATTACATGCTCATAATTTGTACACAGTTCTGTTTCAAACTCAATCTTACAATGTTCAAAACCATGAATTCTCTTGTCTACTTTAAATCTTTCTAATAATTGTAAATAAGAAAACCATTGACAAATATATCCTTCTGCCACCAGATCTTCTCTTGATTTTATTTTACATTCCCCTTGACAAAATTCTAGTATCTCACTTTTCTGAGCTGTCTCAACAGAATATTTAATATTTACCTTCTGTGAGGACACAGTTTGGTAGAGCCCTAACTATTTATAGAGTTCATCATTCTCAGTTGAATTCCCATTTATTTGCCAGGTATATTTCACTAATCTTTTGGCAAAAAAACCCTAGAACTATGAAGTTTTACACATTGCAAGAAATTTTATTTCTTTTGAAAAATGAGGTTCAAAATGTGTCCACAGAATTTTCAGTAGCCTGAAATTTGTTCTGAAGCTTTATCTGCAGATGTATTTGAAGCTGAAATTAATACTGCAGTGTGTTAGTACTGAAATAGGAAATGTGTCTATATGAATTAATATTGCATTCTGAATTGGCAACATTGTTGTGGTAAACTCTGATTTTACTATGCTGTTGCTTTGTATTAACACAAGCGAATTAAGTATACCTTCTCAAGCCCTGTATTCTCTTACAAAAAGAAAACATACAGTACATCAGAACAAAATATTCCTGTAAACAGAAGGCAAGGCAAATGGGAGAGATCATTTCATGGCTGAGACTACACTTAATTTTGGAGAGAGGGGAGGTTATAGGGAGTTGCATGATAGTGTAAAATAGGTGGAGCCACAGCATACACATAGCTGAGAATAGGATTTTTCTATTTGTTTTGGGTGTCCCCCACCCCACCCACCCCTTTGGATTTGGAACGAATGGTTTAGGTGCGTGCGTGCATGTAGGTAGGTAGGTAGATAGATAGACACAGACAGACAGGCTTAGTTTTTATGTTTCCTGTCTCAAATTATCGAGAAATAGTGTAACCAATTTTTAGAAGCTGTGTTTAAGAACAGTTTGAGGACATGAAAAAAATTGTTTGGGGACTGCAATCCTGCTCTAATATAATCAGATTTGCCTCTATAATCCCCAAATGATGGTATAACATAACTTGTGGACAAACAAAAGATAAAATGAAATACATATATTGCATATTCTCTGTATCAATCTTCTTGTTTTCTTGACCAACAAAAAGTTGCTGGTCTCTGCCATGAGTGGAAATTTACAGATCTAATAATATATTGATTTTCCTGGCAATGTAGTGATAGGGTGGGACCTACCCACTAAGAACAAAATTAGCATGCTTCAAATATCAGCATACTGCTCATTTTTAAAGTTTTCATTTAAATAAAATTTTACTAAGATTTTTTTTCAAGAAAAAGAAATAGCAGACTCTGTCTCTTCCCCATCTTTCTTATATTCTGATCCTGGTAGAATGGTGATCTTGGAGCAACTGATGATTTGTGAAATTACAATTCTATTAATTCATATCAGTCTAGAAAATAGCCTTTTCATATTCTGTGACATGGTACTTAGTCATTGAAGTAAATGAGAAATTTGTTTCCTATAATAACTCTGCTTGTGAACTGTGTCACATCCATTAAAGGATAATTAACTTTATGGTGGTTGAGTCTCCTGCCATAATATAGAAAGATACACAAAAAAATTTATAGCAAACATGTTGTCTTCACTTAACAGAAAGCTAAATAAGATTTAAGAACTATTTAAATAAATAGATAACCTCTTACCAATGTACTTTTGTCCAATTAATAAGTCTGTATCATCATGGCATATAATTTATTTATTGATCAGAAAAGAGACCATTTATAACTCTGAAAAGGCAGGTAAATTTTGAGCATGTTTTGTGGGTGGGAGGGGGAAGGAGCTGCATTGAGTCTTACTCTTTTCATGATATACCTTGTCTCTCTCCTCCCCCCCACCCCTGGCTTTCTGTAGACTTAGGGTATCCTGCCATCTGGATTTCATGTATTCATGTATTATTTTAATTTATTTTACCCCACTTCCATTAAAAGTAATTCCAAAGTAGAGGACAGGGCTAGCATATTATGAAGCAAACAGGCTTGAGTTATGGAATATTTTTTGATAAATGTGGAGTTGAAAATTGGTTGTTGAGTGTGAGAAGAGTGATGTATGATGGAAGTAAACCACACATGGAAATAAATGGAATAAATGATTGATTCAACATGAACAGGGAATAAGGCAAGGAAGTGTTCCTTGGCTGTTTAATGTGTTTATGAATAAATGGGTTACATGCTTGTGATGTGAGAGGTGTGTTGGTTGGGAACATGTTATTTTGCATGAACATATTACCATATTGGCTAATTATCTGAATGGTTTGCAGGAAATGTTGGAAAGATTTTATGATGCAACAGAGTATTGATCTGAAAACTGATAGCAAAGGCCAAGGATGTATGTCATAATGGGTTAAATGATTGCTTATATGTAAATGTGTTTTTTTATAACTTTTAATTATGTATTTCTGATTTTAGTTTGTAAGCCGCCCAGAGTCCCCCATTGTGGGGAGATGGGCAGGGACAAGTCTATTAAATAAATAAATAAAATAAATAAAATAAATGGCAAAAACTAGAGCAAGTAGCTGAATTTATATACCTTGGTAGAGTGTTTGCTATAGTTGGGGAAAGAGATGGACAAATAGTTTTGTTTTTGGTGGGTTGTGTGTGTGTGTGTACACCTTCAAGTCAGTGTGGACTCCTGGTCACTTCCTGGACAAGTCCCTGCAGTATTTTTGCAAGATTTTGGAAGTGGCTTGCCATCACCTTCTTCCTAGGGGTAAGAGAGATTGACTGGCCCAAGGTCACCCAGCTGGCTTTGTGCCTAAGCAGGACTGGAGCCCATGGTCTCCCAGTTTCTAGACTAATGCCTTAACCATTACACCAAACTGGCTCTCTGGAGAAATGTTAAGACATGCTAATTCTGATAGAAAGGTAGTGGGTAGTATGCTTTCTGTTGTGATGAATGAATGTTGTTGAAAGTGGTTGTGTGTAAGAGTATGTTTCTGCCTACTTTGTTATATGGAAATAAAAGTTGTGGAATTTAAAAATGGAAATGAGGTACTTAAGTGTGTGTGGTAAAACAAAAAGAGAAAAAGTCAAGAATGAATTAAAATGGATTAAACACAAAAGCGAGTGACCACTACAAAAGAATTATGTTGTGGTGGTTTGACCATGTAGACAGAATGAATGAAAATTGAATTAGAAAACATGTATATAAAGATTGAATGAGTCAAAAAAGAAGGCTAAAAAAGTCATGATTGGATAGAGAAAGAGGTGAGATGAGAAGTTTAAAGAACAAAAGGCAGTGTATGAACTGATGTATGGATATTTTGGAAAGCATGAGGATTTTCAAGATGGAAAGGTATGGATCAGTAAGTGACTGATATTGGTGTATTGGTGTTCCTATTAGTGCAATGGTGTTCCTTTTCTTACCTCATGCTTTTAATTTCTTTTTCTTACAATTGCTTACCCTTTTCTTCTGTATTCTGCAAAACATTGCTTACCCTGAAAGGGAGTGGCACTTATATGTATATATAAGAGAATAACTGAGGATTGAATCACAGAACCAATATATGAAGGAAGAGTGAATGGATTGAGAGGAAGAGAAAGATCAAGAAGGTTGTGATTGGATCGAGTTCATGAGAAGTTCAAGGGATAATAATGTAAAATAATTTTAGCTATGTTTCCTTTTCTTTCTCTTATTCCATTTCTCTTATTATTTCTTATCCATGTGTGTAATTTGCATGTTATTTATTGTGAAAGGGAATAGCACGATGTGTATGTGTGTACATAAATTCAGTGCTTGTGAAGCTTGCTCATTCCCATCATATTTCTGAGGAAGGTCGGATGGCTCTGTTTGTTGGTTGACAATCTCAGTAAAAGTGAGTCAATTACAGGCACTAAGAGGCAGTTAGAACACCCAAGTTTGTTCTATTTAGACGAAATCACAAGACAGTAATAACTGTAGTATGGGGGACTAGAATCTAACAAGTGTGAACAGTAAGGTAGAATAGGAATTTAGTAGTTTATAATATGGTACCTAAGAGTAATGAAGGATTAGCTTTTTGTTCTTTATTGGTGTGAGATTATGAAAATATGTGTTGTCATTAGGCTGATTAAATCTGTTGTCTTTGCTGTGATGGGAACAGGGATATGAACCTTGGTTCAGTGATGTGCAAGTATGTTAATTAATAATTTTAATTCATAATGTTAATTTAAGAAGTTAACAAACTGTTTAATTGTTGTAATTGTTCCTGATGTTCCGTTGAATCTGATGACTATTGCCTGAAATTAATATCCCTCTTTTCATGTATACCAGCATCTGGGAATAGCTAATATAGTAATGATGCCACTAATCATGCAGGATCTCATTTCAGCTATAGCTTGCAAATAGAGTAAAGGTTGCATTCACTATTTGGCTTTCATAAGAATTAGCACTGACCTTGTATAATGTTAATCGGCTTTCTAATTTAAATTATTCTAGAGTCCCTCTATTGTCTTTTACTTTTTAAATTGAGCCATGATTTAAATGATACTTGAGATATTAGTCATCAAACTGTCTGCATTGTCATCATTAATTAGTTTTATAAAAGTGAATGCTAAATATTTATTTCAAATCCACTGAAGACATGCTGCTGTAGAATTAAAAAAAAAATACAGATATTTAGCATAAAAATGCTAATAATTATTACTACTTATATATTAATTAATTATTATTAAGCCAAAAGAAAATTGAAATATAAATATTTTTCAGAACACTTTGATAGGAATCAGAGTTTTAGTCATGCTTTCTATGTAATAGAAGATATGTGTGATATAAAACTGTTATTAGAGAGATGTTTATCCAAAGATCAGGTTCCTTTTTTAATGCAGAGTGTCAAATTTTTCTAATAAAATAGTAATAATTCTCAAAGGATACAAACTCCTTTTTTTGCTAATTCACATAATTTTGAGCCATTTCTAAATTATGAAGCATTCTTTGTTTTATGTCAGAATAATAATAATTATTATTCAGAGTATTCATGTTTTCAAAATTCAAAATGAAATTTGCAAGAACTTTTATCCCAAAACCATCCTGATATCAGTAGAATATCATCTGATAATACTGATAAAGGCGCTTTCAGAATTTGTAGATTAGGAACAGCTTTTTAAATGGAAACAACTTCATGTTTTTTAAGTCTGTCTTTTTCTTTCCCTTCTTTCCACTTTTTGTTTATACGTGAAGTTTCCTTCAAGTCAGGTTCAATTCCTGCCATGGGCACATCGTGTAGTTTTCTTGGCAACAATATAGAAATGGTTTGCCGTACCATCTTTCCAGGATATTTTTAACCATTCACATTCTAGCTGACACTCCTGGTATTTCTTGGTAATTTCCATTCAGATACGATAACTTGGTCTGATGCTACTTACTTTTTTAAGGTCAGCCAAGGTTGGGGTACCAGCAACATATTATAATGCACAGGTTATATTGTCTCTAGTCATATTAGGTGCTATTTCTTTAAAGCAGAAAAGTTTTACAGTGGCACAAAGGAGGTGACTTTAGGCATGCTTAGTTATGCTGAAAATATAGAATGCTTATGGAATTAGTTCAGTTCTGAGAAAGAATAGCTATATTTATGGTTGTATGAATTTCTCCTTCATACTTTGCTAACTGAAATCAGTTTAATAGGCATCATCTTTGAGAAATATGTAAATTAAAAATTACTTCATGCATTATTCAAAAAAGCTTATTTTGTATCATTGATAGCTCTTATCTTATGTAAAGATATGCTAATGGATTTAATTAAAATAATTACACTGAATAATGTACCCTGAACTTTACCCTAAAGTACTTCATATTAATCATCATACATAGCTATATTTTAGTCACAAAGACAGTTATAAATTTGATGGTTAATAGATAACAAACTTAGGGTGTGATTAACTCACTCCAGAGTTGCGAATAGAACTGCTTTAGCTCTATGTGTTAGACTTCGGTTTCAACTGGGAGTAGAAGGAGATTAGTGTAGTCAACTTAATAGATTAATATTCTCATGTAAGTGAAATCTTTAAAGCAAAGAGTCAAGGAAGACAAATCAAGCGCAATGGGTTTATTGCTAAAGTAGCATCAACTTCTATTAAACTCTAGGCAAATTAAAATAGTGCAAGTAGTGTGGTACAGCAAAAAGATGAGCTGCTCAGAATTTAAGAGGCCTCACGTAATATTACAAGAATAAAGACAATTCATTTGGATTAATCTATATCTTGCATAATAATACAGTATAAAATTCTTCCTTTTATTTTTAAAAGGTATCTTGATTTTAAGGGTTGTTTTTTTTTGTTAGAGTTCATCACTTTTCTCCCCAAACTTTGTCATGAAGCTAGTCTTTACAACAGTGAGAGAATTATGACATCTTAGAAAATCATAATATTTCATCATCCAGAGTAGATTTAAGTCCAGTCCTCTATTCTTTCCTGCTAGCGTGTTTAAAAAATGATACTGACCCTCTTACACAGGAATTTGGATGAGTTATCTCATTGTGTAAAATTCTACTTTGTGCTGTTGGTACCGTATTTTTCCGTCAATAAGATGCCCCCATCTACAAGACAACCCCCAGTTTT